TGGACCTCTCCTTCTTTGCTAGCTTTTCTGTTCTGTGTGATAGCGGTGGTGTGAAGAAAGTGTCCACAACAAACGGTCTTCATTTCTGGAGGAATCGGGATGTGGAGATGAAAGGAAATGAGAGACAATCACAATCAAATAACACGTCACCTTGTGAGACTCAAATGAGGACATGAAAACCATATAAACCTCTTGTTAATTTTGGTACCAATTATGTGTAAGCTCTTGAAACCAAACCATACAGCCACCAACCAGATCAAAATAAGTCCTATTCTTCCACAAGAGATGTATTGTAAGTGCTCCAAGTCTTCCTTTTCTTTCAAGACTTCCCCGCGGATTGCCAGACGATCCAACACCCCAATGAAGATTCTCATTTGATGGATTTGGGCAAGTGTTTATGTAAGAGTTCTTCATTCTTGCATATATTCACCCTCGCATTTCCATCATCCGTGTCTCGATAGCAGTCCAATCTAGCCATTCTATGGACTCTGTAGATACATACAATACAGATAACAACCCAGTCCTAGTTATGGATGTAACCAAATAGACTTGTATCTTTTCTCCTTCCATTCATTAATGTTTTCTTTTCTTTTCGTTCCTTTCTTTTTTAAAAAAACCATCTTCAATAATGATGTAAGTAAACCACACCCAACCAATCCGATTACCAACCCAACCTACCCGACCCAAGCCAGACATCTAGTCCCATCTTGAGTGCGAAAAGAATCCCCAACACAGGTCCACTCTTCCGCCCATGAAAAAAAAAAAATAAAAAACAATTGATGAAGGATGTACGCAAACTCCCCCCCCCCCCCCAAAAAAAAAAAAAACTAGATCTGCTTGAAGTTAATTCATAAATGGGAGAGCCAAGAAAACGTGATAAACTGTGGGAGGAAACCGTCCAAATACAGACCCCCAGCTTATGTTTTTTGAGAGACAAAAAAGAGACCCTCAAGAAGAGAGAGAGAGAGACAAAAAAGAACCCTCACAGCCCTCCTTTCAAGGAGAGTCAAACAACGACGACAAATGCCTTGGGGACACCCAAATCAGCGACCAAAAACCTGCTAAGAAACTCGCGCTGGTCGCCCTGACACTCGACCTCGACAAAGGCGGCCTGATTGGAGCCATAGAATGCCTGGTGAGTAGGGGGCATGAAGTCGGCGGTAAGTTTGCCGAGCAGGTCGCGGTTACTCAGCGGCTTCAGCGCCGTCGTTGTCGGGTGGTTCGCCGGGATCGGGTGGGCTGGGGGTTTCCGAAAATATACAGATATCCTCCGGTAAGAGATCTACTAGACCAAGTCACCGGAAAAAAGAATAATAATTATCAAGTTCATGCTCAACTGGTCGTGCTTCCTGCACAAATCACTTTAAGCTCCTTCGCCAACCGGAACGGATCGATCCCAAATAACTCCGTCCCTACCCCCAAACCAAAACAGAAACCAATTCAAGATCAAATTCTTGTCCCCACGAAGAAGCAAGAAGAATGAGAAGAGGAGTAGGGCGGGGGGGGCACACCAGTGAGCAAAGTGGCCTGTTTAGGGCCGGCCTTTTTCTTCATCTTGAGTACGATGGTCGGAAGATCGCCTCTCCTACACACACACATCCGCCGGCGCCGTAACAAAAAAAAGTCAGTAAAAAAAAGACGAGGAAAAGAGAAGAGAAACAGGAAGGAAGGCCCACTTTTCAGCGACAAGGAGGTTGTTACGTGTGAGTCTCCACCAAGGGTCGAACGCCTGTGCGAGGAGGATTTCGAACAACTGGTTGCGGGAGATGGGGGATGTGGGGGAGGGGCCGAGGAGGGCCTGGGCGAGGGTGGGGTCGGGCCGGACGAGGCCGCGGTTGAGCGGCGTGGCCCGGTCGGGAGGATGGACGACACGGGCGTTGAGGTAGCGCGCCAGGGCCTCCTTGATCGCGTGTCGCGTGTGTAAGGCTTCGGCACTGCACAATCCCCACCACACACATCTCTCGCGGGCTTAGCTTCTTCTTCTGTGGATCGAGTGCAGGGCTGGGTGCTCTTACTCCAGATCCGTCTCTCCTATCCAGCCCTTCACCCCCGCCTCGGTCTTCGCCCGATATAGCTGCTCGATCGACGTCTCGGGCAAGCTCCACGAGGCCGCCCTTTTCGACTCGCCTCCTTCCTCCTGCGTCTTCTTCTGTTGTTGCTGTTGTTTGGACTCCTCCTTTTCTTGATCTCCAATCGTCCGGAACTTGGCGAACTTTTTAAGCCTATGAGATGTACCCCAAGATCAATATTAGCAGTCAGAACACAATCGAGCAAGAAGAAGGGACACACATACTCAGGATGGGAGAGGTTGATCCCGACGACCATTGTTTCGGCGCCCTTGCGCTCTTCCTTGGCCGTCAAGAACCCTTTCTTCTGAGCGAGTTTGACCCATTTAGCGAGGCTCTTGGCGCTGGAGTCCTTGACGCCGACGGCTTTGGGACACTCGATCGGACGCGCGGGAAGGATGTGGTCGGAGTAGAAGAGCGAGGCAGGCATCGGCAGCAGGGCTTCCAGCTTGTCTCCCTTCCATAGGGTCATCAGCAGCGCGGAGTGTAGGAATTCATCGACATCTATACATGCGTGTGTGTTTCTCCTCTCGTCCGATCAATGGTTTTCCTTTGGTCAGATCAGATCAAAACGCTTACGATCGACGGGCGGCTTGACTACGGTTTGTACAGTAGTAGGCTCGCTCTTCTGGGTTTCGTTAGGTGCTGGTGATTCTTGGTCAAGCGTGAGGTTCTCGAGCTGTGCTGAAGGCTCTGGCTCTTCCAAGGAGGACGGTTCTTCCAATCTGGCAGGGATCCGTTTAGAGCCTGCGTTCCAGAGGAAGTCGTTTTGAGTGTGGATCTGGATAGAAGGAAGGATTGGAATCAGCTGATGAGGATGATGTCATCATATGAGAATGTAGCAGCTCAACCGTGATGACCGCTTTGCCACTCTCCGATCGGATGAGGCTGGTGACATCATCGGCCAGGAATCCTACAGCCCAGATGGGGTCTTCAGGATTGGAGCCAGAGATGGAGACCAGCTGATCCTTCTTGAGATGAGTGAGTTGATCGAGGTTAGATTTGTTTAAGCCAGGGAGCATGAGATCGGCGCCCTGGACGAGTTTGTCGAGCACGAGCTGGTTGGTCCTGAGGGTGGGCAGGAGGCTTGGATATCTGAGCAGGGTGTAGATGGTCGGGATGAGTGTGGTGTTGAGTTGGATGTAGATCGGCTGGTGTTCTGGGTCATAGTAGATCGATAGTTGTTCGTTGAGATGGCTGTATGCTCGTGAGATGGTGATGCCGTTGGTTGGGATGAGTTGGTTGATGGTTTCTTGTTTGATTGTTGTTGTTGTTGTTGTTGTTGTTAGTTGGTTGATCAGTTTCTTTCTTGCTGAGCTTGAGATTGCGTTGGATGGTTTGGTTGAGTGGGGTCGTTTGAACATGGTTTTTATTATTTTTTTGGTTTTTGGTGGAGTGTCTCCTACTATGGAAGAATGTGCTGCCTGACCCAGTCGAGGGGATTGATTACGTAATCAAGAATGCGGGGTTTTATTGATTTTGAATATTCGATTTGAAGTGAATTACATAATCCGGGTTTTTGACTTGCACACTCTAAATTTCAGAAGAAACCATCAACAACAACAACAAGAAGAAGAAGATGACAGACACAACAACAGCAGCAAAGAAACGATTCATAGGAAAATCAGGAGGAGCAGCAACCAAGAACAACAGCACTCGAACAGCAGCCAAGAAACGGACGAACGAAGTACCAAGGGAGATACTCGAGAACGAGCTACTGAACCGACTGATCCAGGAATGTCTGCCAAAGACCTACAACTTCGAGCTCCACAAGACCATCCACCAGGTCATCCAGAACCAGGTGACGATCTTGGGCCTCCAGATGCCCGAAGGACTGCTCCAGTTCTCCCTCACCATCTCCGACCTCATCCGCAAGTTTTGTCCCGACTGCCAGCACGTCGTCGTCCTCGGTGATGTCACTTACGGCGCCTGCTGTGTGGACGACTTCACGGCTAAAGCCCTAGGCTGTCAGATGCTCATCCACTATGGTCATTCCTGTCTCAGTCAGTCCTCCTCTTCTTTCATATTTCGCCTCCCCCAAAAATAAACTGAATAGAGAACTGATAAGACTTCCATCCAAGTCCCGGTCGACCAAACCTCGATCAAGACTCTCTACGTCTTTGTCGAGATCGGGATCGACAGGAGCCATCTCACAGACACCATCCGAGCGAACTTCCCTCAATGTCTCCGCGAAGAAGAAGCAGAAGCAGAAGTGGCTGAGGGAGGGCTGAAGCATCTGTCGATCGAGCACGAGGACAGTAATCCTGGAGAGCAAGAGCTGCATCTGGCCATCGTCGGCACCGTCCAATTCGTCTCCGCCGTCCAAGCGCTCAAACACGAGCTCGAACTCCCGACCTCTACTCTCCCGCTCGCCCAGCAGCCTAAACAAATCACCCACCAAACTATCCCGGATGATGCCCTCCAACCTGCGCCCAAAGCTTCGTCCTGTCGTTTCCGGGTCACCGTGCCGCAAGTCAAGCCGCTCAGTCCGGGCGAGATCTTGGGCTGCACGGCTCCTCGACTGGCCTCCGACGTCGACGCCATCCTGTAAGTCTAAAAGAAAAAAAAACTCATCGTTTTCAACAAGAAGACTTTCCTCATCATTGGTGATTGTTTTCTTTGAGGGGGCAGGTATTTGGGAGACGGAAGGTTCCATCTCGAGGCAATCATGATCGCCAACCCTTCGATCCCAGCCTTCAGATACGACCCGTATGAGAAGAAGATCACCCGCGAAGGGTACGACCATGTCCAGATGCGCCGCGTCCGTGCCTCGGCCATCCACCTCGCCCGACACTCCCTGCGGACCGGCCCCGTCTCCTCGCCCAATAACACTCCCAAGGAAGACCTGTCGTCGTCGTGCTTAGACCAAGAGGAGGGGGCTTCGGATAGGGCCTGGGCGGTGGTGTTGGGCACATTGGGACGACAGGGCAGTCTCTCGGTGCTCAAAGTTGAGTCCATCCCAACACCCCCACCATATCCAAAAGTAAACTGAAGGGAGATCTTGGGATGCCAAAACAGTCGATCACCAGCGGGCTGGGAGCCAAGTCGGGACCGAAGAAGCTGGCCGTCCCGCTCCTGGTCTCGGAGCTGTCGGCGCTCAAGCTCGGCCCATTGACGGCCCACATCGACGTGTGTGTGCAGACCTCGTGTCCCCGTCTCTCGATCGACTGGGGCCACGATTTCCTCTGCCATCGTCCTCCCGCTTCTCAGGCCGGTGCAGCCGACGGCCATCGGACGGCCAGGGTCGTCCCGCTCCTCAATCCCTACGAGGCTAAAGTCGCCCTCGGTCAGGCTGTCGGGTTCCATCTTGAGTCGCTGAATGACTCCGCCGATCGCTCGTTGTTGGACTCTTATCCCGTACGCTTTCTCTCTCTTTCTCTCTCACCCTTTGTTTTTCTCTCTACTCCGTTTCTTCTCTTACTGAATCATTCCTTCGACTCACTCTTATTCAGATGGACTTCTATGCGGATGAGTCGTTAGGCGACTGGACCCCCCGTCACGGAAGAAACATCCGTCCTCGGCGGGCTCCTGTTGTCCCTCCGGTCCAATAACCAGGCTTCCATTTTCTTTTTTTTCTTTCGGATCTTCGCTTTCTTCTCTTCCCTCCAATTTACTCCCTTTTTTCTCTTTTTTTTTGGGTGTGGGCTTCCAATATGTATTGTTCTCTTTTTATACTCTTTTATCCGTGTTTGTCCAAAATCAAGCCCCCCAAAAAAACACTTTGGTTGTTATTCTTATATGTTTCAAGTATAGCAATATGTGTATGTGTCCAGTTAGTTGTTCTCTCAGCGTGCATTACTCATAAGCGTTGTCAGATGGATGAGGACTGTAGAACAAATGATTTCACAGTTCATTTTTGTCAGACAAGTTATGTCACGAGGGGATTTTTCATCTTGGGATGGTATCTTGCTTTTTTTTTAACAAAAAAGTGCTGGTTATGAAGAAGAATGCAGATCTTGTTTCTTCAAAGCCGATGATAATAATGCCACATGTTGACCAAATCAGGCTGTTTTTTGCGGGAGGGGGCGTATGACCAATCCCGCATGTGAAGACAGAGAGACGGGGGGGGGGGGTGGACAAATAAGCGAGGGGGACAAAGGAGACCCGCCAAGAGTTGGAATCATGTTTTGATTGCTGGAAAGGATATGGTGGATGATCTTCTGATCGGAGTACATATAACAAGAAGCAGAGAGAGAGGCGGAACCAAGAGCGGAGGGAAGAAGGGGAAAACAAAGAGCTCAGCCGTCGTCGAGATCGGCGGCGCGTCGTTTCATAGCCGCAGACATCTATCAAACATTAGAGAAGACAGTCAGAGTCAGTACGCAGGGACTCGGATGAAGCAGGTAAGATGATCGACCTTGGATTGGGCGGCCTCGTGCTTGGCAAGCTCGGGAGGACACTTGGACACCGGACTCTTCATGATCTCTTGCTTCAGATCATACATCACATCCGCATCGTCGTTGGTTAAGAACGTGATCGCTGTTCCCACTTTCCCAGCCCGACCGGTTCGACCTTTGGGAACCGCAACAAACACAGATCAGTTTCTGAAGTTAATTGATAACCCATCAAGAAGAAAGATAGTAAGGATTGCAAGAGTTTACCTATACGATGCACATAGGCCTCGATCGTGCCAGCCATCTGGAAGTTGACGACCAAACCGACATCTGGAACGTCGATTCCACGACCAGCCAAATCGGTAGCCACGAGGATGTCGGACTCTCCAGCACGGAGGGAAGCAAGCGCGGCCTCTCTCTGTTCCTGGTTCTTCCCAGAATGCAAGGTGGTAGTGGACCAGCCGGCTCGACTGATGTCCTTGGCCAGCTGGTCGGCGGTCTTCTTCTGGTTGACAAAGACGATGATCGGCGGGGTGTGGCCTTGGTTGAGCACCTCGAGTAGACGCCCTCGCTTCTTGTCTTCATTCGGCAGGAACTCGACTTGTTGGTCCACCGTGTCCACCGCTTGTCCTGCCACTCCAATCGTCACTACCGCTGGTCTTCGGAGATATTTCTTGGCTAGACGTTCCACCGCTGGCGGCATTGTCGCTGAAAACATCACCTGAAATCAAGCCCGTATACATGGGTTTACTGAGGATCATCATCATCATCATCATCAGTAAATGAAGAATGCTTACGGTTTGACGGTAAAGGCCTTTGGCACCTGTCAGATCGAAACCTTCAACTCCACCGACAAAGCTGGTCATCTTGCTTGAATCTTCAGCTTCCTCTGTATCAGGTTTGAGATTGCTCAAGGGTAGCTGGTCGAGAATGAAGTTGACGACCTCTTCGAAGCCCAGATTGATCATCCTATCTGCTTCGTCCATGACCACGTAAGTGCATTGGCCCAAAACCAGCACATGTCGCTCGATACAATCCTTCAGTCGACCAGGCGTTGCGATGATGATCTCGGCCCCATCGCGCATGTTCAACGCTTGCTCTTCCATGGCCTTTCCTCCGACAATCGAGACACATCGGTAGCCTAATCTGAGCGCAAACTTGTTGGTTTCTACCTCGATCTGTTGGGCCAATTCTCGTGTAGGCGCTAAAATTAGAGCATACGGTCCCAGGTGCCGATTGTCGTCGGTTAATGGCGGAAGTTTGCCGATGTACGTCAACATCGGAATCACAAACGAAGCGGTTTTCCCGGAACCGGTTTCAGCTATTCCGATCAAATCGCGATTATTCAAGCCTAATGGGATAGCTTGTCGTTGGATCGGCGAAGGTTCCTTATAGCCTACTTCATCGATGATCTCCAAGATCTGTAATGGTAGCTTCGATTCTTCCCAGGATCGCATCGGGTTCGGAATGTTTCCACCACGCGCAGCGATCGAGAAATCTTCTCGGAAGATCCTCCAATCACGATCCCGCATTGCGTTCAATGGTTTCTGACTCCAATGAAGCTCATTGACCACCGCTGAGCTGCGTTTCGAGCCTGCCTCACAGGGCCTTGATGTCAGTACTTCATCCTCCGGGTCTAGTCGTCGCTGAGCTAGCTCCCGGGCCGCCGATTTGTTGGTCTGGACGGCAGGATCGATTCCTGCAAGCTTCCCATTACCGTACAAGCCGAATCTTCCAACCAGCTGCACGGCAGTCGTGGTCGGAGGTGGCACGCTTCCTCGACTATGGCTTCCACCATGGTGATTAGACGAATGGTTTGGTGGTGGAGCGGAAGGGACGGTAATGGCATACAGGGGATCGACCTCTTCCAAGGCAGTATCTTCGTCTTTGGCCCAATCGAAGACGAACTTCTTGTCAGACATTTTCCTGATCCTCCGCTTCTTGTTATCGGGTTGGCCCAAGTAACGCGCCATGAGAAGCTTTTGATTGAGGACTGGTGGAGGGGCAGTCCCAAGCATGGGCTCGGTACTGGGCAGTTGACTGTTACCATGCTGATCGGGAGTGACGGATGATGCGGGGTGGGTAGGGGGTTGCATGGATGATGATGTGTGGTCGGCAGATGATGAGGAGCCGTTTGTGGTTGAGTCTGGCTTGTAAGAGTTGCGAAGGGATGAGGGACCTGGGCCGGAGGAGGAAGTTCCGCCAGTTGAATTTTTTCCCCGCAGAGCTTTTGGTGCCGTAGGGACACCCTCCATGTCGACTCTTGATGAACTGGATCCTCTCCGATCGTTATAGTTGTATGAGTGTTCAGACGATCCATTCCGACTGCTGTTGCGCGATGAGTACGATCCGTACTTCGCCTCCCGTGCACTCCGTTCTAGCTCTTCTCGCTTGGCAGCAGCTTCGGCAAGTCGGGCCTTTTCAGCTGCAACTTCTTGCTCTCGTTTGGCAATCGCCAACGCAGCTCTTTGCTCCTTCGACAAAAATTTCGGCTGAGTATCAAAAAAAAAAAAAGCGTGACAGACTATTAGAATTCAAAATTGACTTTGTTTGGCTTTTTTAGGGAAGCTTTCTGATACTCTTGGGAATCACCAACCTTACTAGCCGCCTCCTTTTCCGCCTTTTGCTGAGCAAGTAACGTTTCGATTGACAGCGGCTGTTTCGGACCGCCATTGGGAGTAGAGGCTCTGCTTGAAGCTGGTTTGGAGGAACCGTTCGAGCCCACGACGGGGGATGGACCCATGCCCATTTTGAGTTGACTGCCCGGCTCGGTTTGAGAATTGAGGCTGAGTTCTGATTCTTGTGTGTTTGGATTGTGGGGCGATCCAACATGGGAAATACCCCTGGGCAAGTATCCACCTCAACAATCGGGTCTCCCGCACGGGCTGACCGGGCCTACCCGAAAATGGTATGACTTCACCTCAAGTGATCAGTGATTGGAAGGCGTGCCAAGCAAACTGCATTGCGGCGCAGGATCAACACATTAAGAATACTTTGTATGTATATAGCTTACCTATTGTTTATAGTGCGGTATGTGAAATCAATAGCACTTTTAAAAAAAAAAAAAAAAGTGATCAGTGCTATAACATTCTCTGTTGGAAACTCTTCTCATCTGGATACATGATACCATCATGAGAAGTTATTTGAGCTAAGAAACATACTAGACATCAGAGGAGTTCTATTCTATGAAAGACGGGTGAGATTCATTCTGTGTCAAGGATGGATTTGTTGTTGAGACTGAGTCAACCTAAACATCAAGAAGTAACCTATAATCACAAAAAACTACCTTTTCAAAGGCATGGAGAAGCTTTTTTTATGAAAATCATAGTAGAAACAAAAACAAAAAATAAGGAAATCTAGCTCTATAAAAAATGAAATGTATATTTGTTTTCTTTTTCTTTCTTTGAAAGAAGGGTAAAATGACAATTGAGTATTTTCAGACTCATCTGTTTATCACAGGATACATAGTAGGAAACGTTTCAAAATTTGGAGATCTAATAGACTTTGTCATCTCTTGAGAATGTTTTGAAATAGATGATACATGATGATTCAACCGCACTGTTTTATCAAAAATTTCTTCCATCCTTTGAAAGATTTCACCATCATAAACATTGTTCAGAGTGTGAAATTTCCCGTATTTATTCAAAGCTTTATTGATTCCATACTAGAGATGGCCCACAGCTACCTGGCTGATTTTCATGGAACCTGCTTCAAATTTCTTGTGATCAAACAAAATCAATATGTAACACTTTCATCTCATCAAGTAATACTGGGGCTTGAGGAAGACACTAAATTAACTGTCTAGGAAGGCACCTGTACAAGTACAGATTCCAAATACCTGCGCACAGGTACCTGTCAACAGGTATACCTGTTGGCAGGTACCTGTGCACAGGTATTAGGCATCTGAACTCTCACCTGTGCCAGGCCATGCAGTTAGGTGAGTTTCTTACTCAAGTCCAAGTGGTATCTGATGTTATGAAAGTGTTACATATTGGTGCTGTTTGATCACAAGCACTTTGAAGCAGGTTCCATGAAAATGAGCCAGGTACCTGCGGGCCATCTCTATTCCATACACAATATCTTCCCTGGCATGGCTGGTGGAGAAAACATTGCCTTGGAAGTTTATGAAAAAATAATCTACTGGTGATTCAGATGATGTCTCTGGAAAATAATTTTTAAGATAATTGTCTAATTTTCCTTGAAGATGACTGAGTTCAGAGATTGAATTGAACTTTTGCTGAAAATGCCTCATTCCTTGAACACTTTCCAATAGAAATCTCCCATAATTTTCACTGAAAAATTCTATGGTCAATAACAATGTGGAAGTGATAAACCGACATGCCATTCTGCAGTATGGCTGTTCCACAACACTCCTGTCCCAAATTTCATGTAAGAAAATGCACAAATTTTCAAACTTTTGCTTCAATTCAGATGTATTGAACTCCTTTTGGAATCTTTCTTGGTCTTCATTTGTCATTGATAGATATTCTTCCATTTTAATGAACAATATATCATGTTCAAAAATTGAATCCCCATAAGGTGCCAACTGAGGCATTATAGTTAAATGTTTGAGCTCCCCCATTATTGTTTGAGTCTCTTCATTTCCAGAAAGCAAATTCAATTTGATAAAATTGTAACACAATTCTCTTTTTTGTTTTTCATTTAGAACTTTTTCATTTGTGGGAAAAGAAGAAGAAATTCAAAGTATTTGTTGATCAGTAACAAACAATCACATTCAAGAAAATGAATTGTGAATCCTTGAAAAATAGTTTTATCTTACCTTCATAAATATTCTTGTAATCTGAAGAAGATATGTTTTTAAATATGATATGTTCAAGAATGTGTTTGCTGGGGTAGAAAAGTTGTGTTTCAAGGAATCCAATTGAAATTTCTTTGAATGAAAATTCATTGAAAAAATTGATTGCCAAAATCTCCATTCTGTTTCCACCTTCAAAGAATTTCTTGAAAGATTTAATAGCTATCAGATCAAATTTGTACATGTAATCTATGGTTTTTAAAGCAATGGTTTGAAGCTCAATGATTTTCTGATTATCATTTGAATCAAATTTTTCCTCTGTTTTGAATAGACCAATATAACTCAGCAGGGTACCCAGTCTTTGAGTTAGAGCTTGAGCAGATTTTGGAGATAGTCTTGAATGATCAGAGAGTTCAAAATGTATCATCTTCAACTTGTTCCAATAATGCTGGAATTCTTTGTTCTTTGCATGAAACTTTGATTTTTTTGTTCAACTTTTCCTTTCCACAAATTTTGATTAATCTCTCCTTTAGAATTTTGATTGAGTCTTCTTTTGATTTGTTCCCTATTTATAATCATCAATTATCAGTAAAAATGGTTAAAGATTTCAGAATTCTACCACCACCACAGTTGGATTAAAGTTTGTGTACTTATAAACACAACAGAAATTTGGATCTTAGCTTGCCGTTTTTACATCAAATCAGTTGATGTTTCATTTTACTTGTACAATTCAGTATTGGAAAATCCTCCCAAACAAGATTCTACTGATTTTGGTTTGCCAATTTCAGGCTCAATCCAACATCAACTTCTTTGATTTAATAATGAGAAGCTCTGGTCCAACAATCTGACGTATCTGTTGTTACAGTATATAAAATCCAACTATGATGAAAGTGATAATACTGAGAACCTAGAATCATGTATGTACCTTGCTTTGAAAATCTTGATCTCTGGAATCTGGCAATATCTGATGAGCAAAAGCTTGCTACACATTCATTTATATAATTAGTGTTGTTTGTAATCAGATGGTGAATGTGAATGAATAGACTAAAAGATTTGTATTTCATGAGTGCCAGCAAAGAAATACAAAGTAGAAAGAAGAAAAGAAAGAAGAAAAAAGAAAAGAAAATAATCACCTAAAGCAGTAAATGGCTAGGTGAATAAGACAACAATATGATTTGTATGGCAAATGAAAGAAGATAGAAAAAGCTAACAAAAGAAAGTGGGTTAATAATAAGACACTAGTGAGAGAAAGATTGACGAATACCTACGATGATTGGGAACACCAGAAGAGAAGAGGTAGTCGGCGGAGTTGTCGAATGGAAGGGAAAGATTCGATACGAGGATCAAAAAGAACAAGATGCGAGAGCGGGAGGAAGTCGGAGAGGGAAGATGTAATGTTCGTCTTACTGAAACGACGAGGATGAATAACGATTTATAAGAGAGTAAGATTTTATAACACGATCAAGTAGGAATTTCAACAGTGGAGGAATGTATGAGATGAAGTCCTAAAGGAGGAAGAACAATAGTCGGCGAAAGAGAGGGAATGATAAAGGAAGCGAGAACAAGGGAGAAGGATCAAGCGCAATGATGTCATTGCAGGAGCTTTGACCGTTTTCAGAGTTCAGGCCAGAATGATGTCATAGGTGTTTCGATCTTGGGTACCAGGTGGTCTAGAGCTACGGAGCTTAGACCTCAACAGTGAATGGCTTGAATTTAACTCTTACCTTCTTTTCTCTCTTTTTCAAGGCTATTTGTTTTGTATTTCAATTTATCTTCTAATAGTGTAATATGAAGAAATTATGTGAATCATAAAGAAAAGAAAAGAAATTGGTATTGATTGATTGGACATACTTCTTTCTTTACTGCTAGTTTCAAGTCCATTCTCTTCACGGGACACTGCAAGCTTGAAGTAATATCTATCATTCCTGTCTCTTGGCATGTGATCATCCACTTTGAGTGGATACTCTTTGGAAACAAAATGTACATTAGTTTGTAATTGGTAATGATAGCTAGCAAAATTTTGCCTTACTAGGTGGTTGTGTCATTTGGATATCTGGAAATGTTTGAGGTGGTTGTTCTACAAAAAAGTGAAAGGAAGCTGTGATAAATTTCAACAACTATCAGTATCCTTAATCCTGAAGACTAAGAGTAAAAATAGAATTGGGGACAGGTTTTTACACTTTATGAGACTTTTGTCATCACTTTCTGGAGGAGTATGCATGCCATGGGTTGCTTGTGAGAGGTATGCAGCAATCATCAATGCTTGGATACATCTACCAGAGACACTCATGCTTGAAAAATCAAATGATTTCCAAAATGAAGCTGAAAATAGAGAAAGGTAGGTATTAAAATTATTTTTTCCCAGCAGAAATTCTCACAGTCCCCATATTTTCAAGTGGAGTTTGGAAAAGGCAACAGCTCAAGGGTATGTATGTCAATCATTTTTTTCAAACTGATGACCATACATGTTACAGTTTGTGATTTCATATACATAATTGCCTTATTTTCATAATGAGCTTGCCACATCACAATGACAGGCCCATAAGCCTCATTGGTTCAGGAGCCAATACATCCCTTGGGGACTGAAGCTATGGCTTCCAAAATATTGGTGGGTTTGCTAAAATTATTCTTGGCTCTGAAACCCCTAATTTTTTGCAATTTTCTTGCATGAACCTGGTAGCACATGTTTCATCCAGAATTAAAGCTTTGATAAGCATTCCTGTAGACTTATTTCAGATAGGAAAACTCTTCTTGCAAAAAGGCAATTATGAACCCCAATACTTGCAGTGGTGGGCCGCTACATTACGCTACGGTTTTGGCCCAAAAAGCGTAGCGTAGTGGCGCTTTTTTCATCAAAAATAATGTAGTGTTAGCGCTATTTGTAGCGGATTTTCGCTATGCTATGCTGCGCTACAGCGC